CACACCCTATTTAACACAACATTTACTCCCTCTGTCCCAGGTAAGGGTTCGTGTCTATTATTCCTCGTTCAATGTAAATTGTTTTTAATCTATTAAATCTCAGTTTTTTCTACTTTTTAAAGTTTTTATTGTATTTTTGAATATGTAAATATTATTTACAAAAAAAATCTTATTAATAATAGGGACCAATTGGTTTTATGGGCTATCAACAATCGTAAATCAAATGAGAACCTTTATTTGGGACGAATGGAATATTATTTTAATATTACATTCTGATAATGAAAAGTAGTTATTACCACCCTCTACCCCACCCGCTACCGCCACGAGTCCACGGCCACCTCTGCTACTGCCTCTACCGATGACAGTGATCTACGTTCAGTTCGTCTATCGTTACATAGGACTGGTGCAGTTGAAGTTGGCTTACATTCCCACACAGTTGCATAGGACTGGTGTGCGAACTAGGCCGCTCGACCAAGGGTGTATGAGGCTGGGATGGTGTAGGTGTGATCGAGTTAGGAGTGGGCTGAGACGGACTGGGGAGAAAAAAATCAGGAGTGGAGCGGGACAACCAGGACGGGGTGAGGGCAGGGGTCGTAGGTGGCTGGTTCGAGACTATGGTAGGATAGGGAAAAATATTTTCATGAAAAAGTACGTCCCGACTCACATAAACCCGGCCAGTGGAAGGAGAAAAGCAACGATAACCCTTATAGCCCGGTGCATAACCAAGGAAAACACAATGAATGGAACGAGGTGATAACTTGTTGTGAGAAGAAGCAATAAAATTTGGAAAACAGGAACAACCAAACACACGCATGAAATTATAATATGGAATTTTATTAAAAAGTTTTTCGTAGGGCGTGAGACCGGTCAAAACCGGTGTAGGCAGACGATTTATAATAAATGTAGCAGTATAAAAGCATCAACCCAGAATTTACTTGGAATAGAAGAATCAATCAACATAGTCCTAGTTAATTCTAGCAGATGTCTATGTTTTCGTTCTGCCACACCATTTTGAGCCGGAGTTTCAGGACAAGACTTCCTAAATAAAATTCCAGATTTTAGAAAATGCTCTCTAAAAATAGTGTTGTCAAATTCACCCCATCCATCACTTTGAAAAATTTTAATTTTCAAATTAAAAAGATTTTCAGCTAGTTTTTGAAAGTTTAAAAAAATGAGTAAATACTTCAGACTTCCTGTGCATTGGATAAACCCAAATGTACCTAGAAAAATCATCAATAAATAGAACATAATATTTGAAGCCAAGATTGGACAAAACCGGCAATTGCCAAACATCAGAATGAATAAGTTGTAAAGGTGCAGTAGAGTCATGAGTAACATCACGAAAAGGAAGTCTGTGGGATTTGCCCAATTTACAAGAAACACAATCATGAATAAATGAGGAGGAAGTAGAAATTAATTTATGCTGCCTAAGTCTACCAAGAACTCTATCACCACAATGCCCCAAACGCTTGTGCCATACTGGACCAGTTACAACGCGGGCTTGAAGGGCATGAAAAGGGTAGACATGGTCTTTATTAAGGGCCTGAAGAAGAAGCTCCCCCGTGTGATTGTCCTTAACAGAAAAAGAGTTTTTATCAAAAATCACTTGACAGGCATTATCCGCACATAATTTTTGAATAGACAATAAATTATATTTAATATGTGGGACATGATAAACAGAATTGAGATTTAATGGGCGACCACGAGTGGTAAGCTTTAAATGACCAATATTAGAAATGGGTAATTTTGTACCGTTAGCAACACACACTTGATTTGGGCCACTGTAAGGAGTTTTATAAGAAAGAATACCTTCATGAGGAGTCATATGAGCGGAAGCCCCAAAGTCAGGATACCAGACTGAATCATTATTTTCACCGGTGGGTAAAGCAGCAAGAGCCGGGGTATTTGATGCAGTGAAGCGGGAACAGTGAAGGGCTGAGTGACCTGGAGAAAAACACAACTGACACACAACTGGGGGGGAGGTGATTGATAGGACTGATCCACAGATGGAAAACCTGCATAAGATGTATGAGTGGCAAATGTAGGAAAATAAACAGTACAATTATTACCAGAACTAACATTACACAATGCCGAACCTGGCATCCCAGGAAATATAGGTGGGCGCTGCATCTGAGGGGCGGGCTGCTGTGGATAAGCTGCATAGGACTGCTGCGGATGACCGATATACGCCTGCTGGTAGTAACCGCGGCCACCGCCACGACCGCGTCCGCCACGACCTCTGTTTCCTCGATTTCCGCGACCACCAGGTCCACGTGGCTGCCCACCTGCAGGGCGTGGAGCACCCCCTCGGACTGCTGGGACAGCTGGGGCAGCAAACGCGTGATGAACTGGAGCAGACTCTTGTGCCTGAAAGAAAAGGTTGCGTTGCTCTTGTGCTTGGAGAATGGGACGTAGATCGTCAAGGCTTGGAAGTCCCGGGAGTTGGTCAATGTTGTTGAGGACGGACTCATAGCCTCGTCCCAACCCAAGAATGGCATACTCAATTTGATCTCTCCCACTAACTGGAGCATTAATGGCTGCCAGTGAATCTGCCAGGAGCTTGATTTCTAACAAATATTGATCCATAGTCTGTGATTCTTTCTTTTTCATATGAGACAACAACCTTTTAAGTTCTATGGATCGAGAAATACAAGCAGACATAAAACGTTTCTGAAGTTTCTCCCAAATAAGATGCGAAAATTTTAGATCATAAACTTCCATTAAAACATCTCTAGCAAGCGTAGCAAAAATCCATGAACGCACAGTTTGATCAATTTTTAGCCAATGAGAATAATCAGAAGTAGTAGGTGAGGGAACTGGAATAGACCCATCTAAAACACCCAAAAGACTATGAGAGACTAAAAATGATTCAAACTGGGTTCTCCAAGGTAAATAATCTTCAACAGATGATAAAAGGGTAGTTACAATGTTACTCACATTTGGGGTAGAAAATGCCAATTGGGATGCTAGAGATGATAAAGGAGTGGAAGAATTATGATAACCTGACAGAGGATATGCCGAGGGTGTTGACATCAGAGCTATGCCTGGCTGACCCGCAAAAGTGGGACCAGAAAATACATTGGATGAACTGCCAACCTCTGGGAAAATTGGTGGAGGCGGGAATGGTGCTGAAGCCGAAAACTGTGTAGAAGAGGGCATCCAAGTAAATGGCTCAGGCATATTGAACATTCTGTAGGAATCCAAGGGTGCTATGCTGCGAATTCGCTGTGAGAAGGAAGCCGGTGGTGGAGACGCAGTCTGCACGGCCTGTGGTGAGGAGAAAATAACGTGGCTGGAACTCTCGCCAGGGAGCACTGGAATGACGGGCGCCATGCTTGTCGCAGCCGCAGATATCGTATGACCTGCCATGGATCGATCGATCGAGTAGGGAGAGGGAGAAAAACCTATAGCTTTGATACCATATACAAAACAATAATTTTGGGATATAATGGCTTACCCTATTGGGTGCCTTGAGGATATATTTATACTAAAACCAGTTTAGGAAATTACATCATAATCCTTATATAATTACATTATTACTTTTTTCAACATCTCTGAAACATGGTTGATGATTCTAACCAAATTTGACTACGATATTTTTATTTGTGAGCACTCTTCTATTTTCATTATAAAAAATGCTACTAAAACGTAGACAAAATTCACAAATATGAATAGTACGTTATGTTTATTCTAATTAAAGTTCAGGGAGAAAGTAATCAATATGTATTAATGTATACTGTTTCAAGATTAAATAAGTCCTATTTTGGGAAGCAAACAATAATGACCAGATTTGTCAACTTTATCTATGTTTTAATCATGTGTAAAGAATCTTCTCTTTCATTATTACTTCGAAACCTCTAGTTAGTGCTGTGATTAAGGGTGGGTAAAAATACCAAATTGGTGTGGTACCAAACGGGACCAGTATGGTACCAGACCGAAAAACATGGTTTGAAACAGATATCAAAATTTTCTTCTCGAAATGGTATGGTTTTGGTTTTGCTATATTTTATACTACCTCCGTCCAATTTTATGTATCTCCTTTGATTTTGACACAATTTTTAATAAAATGGTTGAAAAGGTAAAAGTTGTGGTTGAAATTTGAGTATACAAAAACGAAATGTTGTGAATCACATATTTCTTTCCAAATAGTTATAGAATAATAAAAAATACCCCCACCGGTTTTTGATAAACTTCACACTTTCTTTTTTGGGACGGTCTAAAATAAACTTCACACTTCCTTATTTCCTTTTTTGACAAAGAAATCTACATCAAAACAGTGCCAAACAGTGTCTCAACAGTGTCAAACAGTGTCAAACAGTGCCTCAACAGTGTACTCTGGAGTAAAGTCAAATTTCTTTCCTTATTTTGTGTGAAGTCAAAGTGTGAAGATTAAATAAAACCGGAGGGAGTAATAATAGTTATAAAAATATAAATATTGATCTTTTTAATATGTAGTACGGAGTATATATTGTCTTAATGTTTTATTTATCTATTCATTCTTGATAATAGAATTAATTAATATTTACTATTCTAAACTTAAATGGCTTCAATCCTTACTCTCTAAGATTAATATAGTAAACAAGTAATAATAATAATAATAATAATAGTAATATTATCAGTAACAAATACCCCATTTTTATTAAACAAATTAGTTGTATTTTTTATTATATTTTTTTGGTTCTAGTTTTGAACCAATGCACACCGCTATCCCAATTAGTCAAGGAGGGCCATTTAGTCATATTCACAAGTAGTTATTGCCAACCATTGTAGTTACTAGTTAAATAACAACATCAACTACAAAACAAAAAACGTTTGAATACAGGGTAAGATCTCAAACTAGGTCAATTTTTGGACATTTAAAAACTCACTAAACATGCTCTTACATGCCTTTTGCTCCCTTTCTCAATGTATTCATCCATGCTTATAATAATATATACGGTTTAGTTTATGTTAACGGTATAATACTCCGTATTTTAAATTTATACGCAGAATTTTCCACACGAGAACTTGAGAAGTGCTTGAGGCAGCGGTCAAAAGACAAAAGTCTGCCGAAATCAATAGATTAGAAGGCTCTCGAAGTTAGAAAATCAGCTGATCTGTTGACGTTCTTCGTTGATCCGTAATCTCTCTGTTTTTGTCCTCTGAAGCGTCGGCCGAATCAAAGGAAAAGGGCTCTCTAGTCGTCTCTACCTTTTCGGTTCCTAAGCATATATGCCGTATTCGTTGGGTTGCTTTACCCCTCTCGGAAACTGAGAGGAAAAAGCTTCGGAGCTTTTCTATTGCATTCTCGTTCTCCGGAGATACATATCCAAGTGAACCTTATTCGCTCAGCCCTATTCCGAGATATTTCATTCTTGGTCGGTTCTCTTTATACTTGAAATTGAATCTTCCTGAACAGGTGATGTTTCGTTCACAATTCTTGATCCATCAGCCAAAGAAATTCTTCAAATTGGGTTTGCTTATGCATTAATTTGTTAATCTAAAACATACCTTCATTTAATCAATGCCATGATTTTTATGAAATTAAATTGGAATAATCTAAATAGATAATGCTACTGGCAAATGCTCACTGGTGATTAAAGCAGCTTGTAGATGCTTTGTATTTCTTCCCATTCAATTTACTCTTTCATTGTGCAATTAGAATAATAACATCATTGTGTCATTGGTTGTCAATATTGTACAGAATGATTTGACATATCTGTTTTTTCCTCTTCTTCTGGTATTTCTGCCATTTCACTAGTATATCACGGAATGTAAATACTGGAGTCTCTTTTTAAACCTATAATATTTTTTGCTAAAAGTTGAATCTCCATGAGTTCATTCCAAGTAACAGGTTTCACATAGTTGAATGGGTTTTTAATCAGGTTTATATTGATCTGCTGTACTGTCATTGACTAGTTTATGTTACTATCCCAGTGTAATCCAGACTTGAGTATTTTATTTGTTTTATTTGTTTTAATGACAAGCCGTGCTTCCTTTCATTACTCAGCACTTGAGGAGGCGTTTTCTGCTGCATTGAGTTTTCTCTTTGGACTGAATTTATCCATCTGTCCCTCTATACAGGTGCTGATTTGGTAGCAATAGTAGACTATGCGTCATAATTGGTTGACTTTCATGGATTTTGATAAAGATCCATCTCAAATGTTTCCCCTAGAACCCTTTGTGCCTTACGGTTTTGGAATGGATTTCCTCTATCATATTAACTCTGTTATTGATAATTCAACCGTGGCCCTTCAAGAAGCTTTATGCTGTTTCTCAACTTTTGCTGGTGCCCTTGTATTACGGGCAGCCAGTTCGTCAAATTCAGAAAGCAAGGGTAGAATATCACACAGAAGCTCTAAGTCTTTGGTCCAAGGGAATAAAGTTTCTTCTGGTAGCCGTTTCTCTAAATCTAGCTGTCGAGGGAAGTTCACATTGCCTGTGATTATTAGCAAAATTTCGAAGTTCACTGTAATGCATCTACTTAAAGAATCTCCATATCTTCAGCCAATTCCTGTACTCTCCTTAGCAGCAGCATTGGTGCCAGCTTTTACCAATGTGTAAGCTTATATGTTATTTGGTTTTACAACTATTAGCATTGGTACAGATGACACATATAGAATTGATGGCCATGTATCTAATGATGCATGAACTGTATGTCAATCAGATCTGGTAATGTACTTGCTGCTCCCCTGGAAGATGCTTCTACTATGGAAGCACAAATGTGTATGGATCAAAGCCCATGTAAAGGTGAACATCATGGATTCGCTAATTCCTTTTTTCAAAGTATAAATTGGTCTAGGCTTGCTGTTGAGCCCAGAACTGGGATTGAATTTCCTATCATCTTGGACGACATAATCACCAGAGATAATAATTCAACCTTTATGTCTGAGGTACACATATCAACAATGAAATTATTCTTCACAATTTCTTCTTAAAACAATAAGTTCTCTGTGCGATCTAACTCATTTAGTGGATAATGTCAATGTTTTATTATAGTGAAGCTCACATACCAATAGGATGATATCTTCTAGTTAATAATTTCAATTTTGTTATCCAGAAAAGTGTTTTCCTCTGAGAAATATTATTATATTAGTGAAACATTTGAGTCTTAACTTGGAGTTCATGTCTATATTTCCAGTTTTACACTCAAATAACGAGTATTAGGAGGAACATATTCAAGAAGGCCTTATATTCTTATTTTCTATCATATAGGCCTTCTATACTGAATTTAGTGCTTACTTAGTTTAGTTGATTAACTGACACTAAATTATGTCAATGATCCCAACATAATTGGGGAGAAGATTATGAAATTAGAACTGAGATTTGTAAATAATATTGTTTATTTTACAAAGATAGACTAAGAAGGATTTACAAGTTAGTTTGAAGAAAAAACCCAAATGTATTCTAAGTTGTAAATAACTAAATATTATACTCGACTCTGCTTTAGACATTGAAACTTTTGGTGATCATTATAACTTATAAGACACCCATTCTGGAGTTCTTTGAGTCACATTTTAGAAATGTTTCTGGTTGAATTTATTGTACATTTCAGGTCCTCGTTGGAACAGGATCCCGTATTATGACTGTTATTAGAATCAAATCTTTGAAGGTTTATGCCTTTGGATTCTGTAAGTTCCCCCTTTTTGTACATAACTTTTTAGTTGCTTGAAATACTCTTCCAAATTTAATCCTAAACAGTTAATATGTGTTTGCATTGTAAATAGATGTACATCCTTTTGATGTCTGCCAGAAGTTGGGTCAGAAATATGCTTCTGTTCCCGCATGTGAACTGAACAACCTGCACGAGTTTTATCAGGATCTTTTGAGGTAGCTACAAAATAGTAGAATTTGATTACTCATTTTTTAAAGAACGAAAACTTTAGTTCTTATTTATTTGTTTATTTATTTTTATGATAAAGAATGACATATTTTTCCATCATTTGCAATGGAGTCAAAGATTCATTATTTTTTGGCTTGAAAATGTGATGGAATAAAGCAAAATGGCTCACTAAACTGTCTGCGCTTCTTTGTTATGAAGCAACAGTCAGTCCATGCAATGTTGGACGCGATTTTCACTATGGGTCATCCGGAAAGTCTCTCTGTGCTTTAGTACAGGGGTAAGACTGCGTACATCCGACCCCCCCTTACCCCACCGTAGGTGGGAGCCTTTGCGGCACTGGGGTAAATGACAATGATAAAGAATGGCATATCATTTGTATATTATGTCTGTTGTCTTGATGAACAATGCCATTTCCTGTAAAAGGTAATGCTTAGTGTACAATGTCAATGTGCAGAATGTTTCATCTTTGAAACTTATGATATGAGTGCTTCATGTGCAATTGCGGCTTTCATGCAGGGAGGATATCAACATGACCGTTAGGCTTGTGGTTAGCTGTAATGGGATCAAATTTAAAAATGTCAAGGAGTAAGTCAGGATTATGCATTTATCTTTTTTCAGAAATCGTAAATAATTATTATAAAAACTGTGATGAAATGTTCTTATTTTTACAATTGTAATTTCCTTTTCATGCCAGTGTATTTGAAAAATCACTCCGAGCTCGATTGTTGAAGGTTAGTTGTTTGTGATATTTGTTTCTAAATTGTTATTCATGCTTTTGATTTGACAGTTGTGATTTTTCAGACGAATCCCGATACTGATTTTCACTGCATAGAAACATTTGGCTCCATTTTCTCACAAGACATCCCTTTACATGTTGTAAGGACTTGTTCACTCTTGCAATACCCCCCCCCCCCCCATGTCATAGTTTTATGTAATAGAATCTTTTGTTTGAATAAAATATATTTAGGGGACAACAATCAATTTCCGGCGTACTGGTGATGGACATTTAATAACTGAAAGTAAGTGGCTCACTAATGTAATTGATCAAGATTTAAAATTAATCTTGCGGTAACAAAGTTGTATCTTGGCTTATCTTGCGGTGACATTACTCTTTCGTTTGTGCAGTTGGTGGGAATCATATTGGAGCAGTTCATAGCAAGGAGTTATGTAGTAAGTGGTTTTGGTTGGAGCCTCTGTAAATTGTACATTAAATTTAAAACAATGAACCCGGACAGATATTTACAGCTGGCCTGGTTTCTCAGGGGCATTTTTTGATATGTACATTGGGGATCTTCCTATTTGCGAGAAAACAAAGGAACAGATTGGACAGAATGTTGCTAGCATTATAAAGGGGTGTTGAGGTTTGGTTATTTTCCCCTTTTACCACCCACCCTCCTACAGTAGTGATCACACATTTTTGTTGGGAGCGTTCATGGCAGCCGGTCATCAAGTTGTATTGGGATGCCAATGCTGATGGCTTATGCTATATCCGAATGAGTAGAACAGTAAATAAACTATATAGGTTGATATATTGCCGAAACAATTTTATGGTTACAATTCAAGCCCGAGTTAGCTATACTTTCAATATCCAAATTCTGGACAGACTAGGTCATGAGTGAGATGACTTGGGAGCTGTCAAGATGCCCTTTCTGTTGTTGTAAATTGCTGTTTTAGCAGAAGTAGTTATTCTTTTGTGATGCGATATATGTTGTACAGTGATTTTAAGTTTTAGTTATGTACTGGATTGTGACGTTAGTTGTGACTGAACAATGATCTATGACTAAGGCTATGTTTGGGAGAAACGGTTTACCATGTTTTTATTCAAGCCAGCCAAAATGGCCTTCTATTTCAGACGAAAGTTGGCCTAGAATTTCTAAAAAGAGAGTTGGATGGATTGTCAAAATTACCACTGTTAATTGCTGCTACTCCGTATTTCATAACTTGGGGAATATCATCCACGACTTCGAGCCCGTCACAACACCATTTCGATGCACATGCACACAAAAATGAGACTCGTATGTAAGGGTGGTGTCTATTGTGAAGAGTTGCATGTTATAATTTATAAATGACTTTGTTAGAGCCTTAGAGGTTGTAGCGTCAACAATGAGAACTTAAGTACTACAGTAGTACAGTGTGACACCTACAATTCTAAACTAAGAAATTGGTTGCCTGAATTTGATGAAGGTGGCCATCCATTGGTGAGTTAGAATCATGCGATGGCCACCGAGAGCTAGTGGTTGTTATCGGCGCTTTGTGGTTAGCAGCTTAAATTGTGTTAATTGTAGAAACGGTTAAAAGAACACATGGCTGATGCATCAGTAAGGTTGTTTTTTTCAAACGGTTAAGATTGTCACATTTTTTTTGTTCGTTCCACTAAGATTGTCTCATATCAAATTTGGCAAAATTTGTGTAATTCTAAATCATTCTTACATTATTGTTATTTTATCATTTCAATATTAATCACATTAACCCATTTTTCTTAATAGTCGCATGATCTCCTCATGCTCTAATGTTAGCGAGAGATAGGTGATACCGTGATACTACGTATTAGTTTTAGACTTTTAGTACATTACAATTTTTTTTTTTATAAACTAGGTTTGAAAAAATAACAGCTAACATAAATATGTACTCCGCATTATACTAGGTTTGTCTCCCGCTCTACACAATTGTATATCAATTTTCACAATCAAATCACATTATTTCCAAAAAATATTTCACTATCCGCTCTCTTTTAAATTTCAACTTTTTTGTTAGCTTATTGCATTCTTTTCTATATAACAAAAAGCTAGCAGCTTTTGCTATTTTTCGAAGATATACAGTTATACATTTGCATTGATTTTTAAAGAGATTCCATTTATGTTGTAGAAATTTCATGTATACGTTAAAGAGATTCCCATTGCTCATCCTATTGATTAGGGTGGTTCACGTACGGACGTACCGGAGTAAGAAAGACTTAGGAGATTGGACATGGTGTTGAGGTCACATATAATGTACTCATACTTTCTCAATAATAATTGAAACCATGGATCTAAAAATCGGGCTAGGCACAACCTAAAAAAAAGGATGACACCCCATCCCTGAGGACCCCCCAACACTGACCGGACGGCACGATGGGAGGATGTAAATTGGACTATAATCACAATCTGACAGATAGAGAGTGGGGCTCTGTCCCCGGTACTTGCAGAAGCCCTATGCATTTTTCAGCATACTAACCTCTCATCGCAGTTGCCGGGATTCGAACCCGAGACCTAACCCTTGTGGCACTCCCTTGCTACCAGTTGAGCTACGCCCACCGGTGGGCTAGGCACAACCTAGACACTAGGTGATGGTCGGACGCCCCGATATTGGTGTAATCAGTCAAAAAAATTGGTCGAGCACCTAAGCGGTAGCTAGGCGGTCTGGATTGATTTTTCCTGTGTTTCAACTCCAGACACCCCCCCCCCCCCCCCCATTTTGACTTAAAACAACATTTGATCAATAAGTATTCTATTCTTATATAGTTTAGTTTCATATTACTACGATAAAAAATAATTTTGAAAAATTTATATGAGTAATATTTTAGAATGTATATGTACATTTTTAGAGACTAAAAAATATAAATCTCTACATTTATACAGTAATTACTTTATTATCTATAATTTTTATACAAAAACCATAATATCTAATGATTAAATGAGTTATACAGTCCTATTTCGGTAATGTATTCAAAATTCAATGAAAATAAAAACAAAAACAAAAACAAAGAAATAAAAAAAATACCTAGGCGTCCTAGTCGGTGCCTAGGAGGCAGGGGCGGATCTAGAGGGGGGTCAGGGGGGTCAGCCGACCCCGCTGAAAGTTTAAGAATATAGAGCTTTGAAATAACTTCGATTTGATATATTATGGGTCTCGTACTTCATTACGAGTAAAAAGTTATGACTTCTGGAAAAATCAGCACCATCATAACTTGAAATAAGCAAAATTTGATGTATGACGTTGATTATATTCTTAAATTTAAAAATTAAAACACCTTATTCAGTCATTAGTTGTGTGAACATTATGATACATTACATATATATCAATACATTAACCGAAAAATGCTCATTAAACTATCATTTATCTGAACCTATGAAGCACGGATACTTCCCTAGGGTAGCATATCGGCGTATCGGATACGTTCCCGTATCCGATATTCTAGGATACCCGTACCGTACGTTCCCGGACCGTATCTGTAATTTTTAAAAGTTTCCATTTTTTTTTTGTAATTTTTTGAAAGTTTCCGATACTCGTATCCTGACGGATACCCGTATCAACTTTAAAAAAAAAAAATCCCAAAATTTACTTAATAAAATTCTTAAAAAAATGAAAACCTAAAACTACATTTTACTTGGTAATCAAATAATGGGCCTATATGACTATATCCGAATTAAGTCATTAACTCATACTTCGAAGTGGGTACTTGTACTTTTAATTTCAAGATTGTACTTGTTTGACTTATTTCTCATTTTAAATTAATGACTTATTGACTACATTTATATTTCGAGATGCACTAGTGTACATGAGAAATATTATGAATCTATTACTAAATATCTTGAAAAGGGAAAATGCTTCAATGCAATGAATGGGTAGACATCATAGGATATTATATGTGTGTATTTATATATATATTCAAAAAAATAATCTATTTTTAATATTTATAAATAGACCCCTATAACTTTTAATATTTGTAAATACACCCCATAACTTTTAATATTTATAAATATGGCCCCGTATCCGTATCCTACTTTTTTTGGTTTTGACGTATCCCCGTACCCGTTTCCGCGTTTCCACGTTTCCGCGTACCGGTATCGGTGCTACATAGATCTGAACTACATATGAAACATTTGACTCAAGTATTGTATAATAACTATCCATTATTTTGATACTGTATATAATTAAATTGTGACCCCCCTCACTCATTTTTCTGGCTCTGCCCCTGCTAGGAGGGCTAGGCATTAGGCGGCCAGTCACCGCCCGACTAGCGCCTTTAGAACACTGATTGAAACACTTTGGCTTTTACACTATTCACACACTGTATTTTGACTTCATTTTATTTATCAATGTGTCCTCCATCCAGATGGTAAAAAATTTTTTTATGAGGTTAGTCATGGTTTTGAGGTCACACACTATTAATAAGACCAAGTTGTAGTAGACTAGCTAATAGTATTGGGCTGATAATAGTATTGGACTGGGAGAACAAAACAAAATTTTCTCGTACCAAGCCAAAATGTATTAATAAAAAATGGAAGAAAAACAAGCATGAAGATGCATATTTTATTATTAGGTTTGTTCCTAACACATATCATCACAACATTTTCACATGCAGCTCAAATTGCACCACAACCGAAGCCTGATTGCTCAAATACTAAAAGACCTCAAGAATGCAAGAGAAGGGTGTTATCAAATCTAGTGCCTCTTGACGTGCCATATGAAGAAATCACAGGCACATGTTGTTCAACCATCAGAACATTAAGAGAGCATTGTTTCTATGATTGGGCAGGGTCCAAATTATCTAAACTAGAGCCTGCTTAGTGCTTATGCACTTGAAAGTAATGGGGTTGTCTCACAGGTACTTGTGACAGTGAACGTCATTCTGAATAATAATGCAACTATCATGACTTGTTATACTCATCAGAATTCCTTATTATGAAAATGTCTTGACCCACCTAACATCAATGATCTTTTATAAAAAATTATACTCTTGAGTCATATCCAATCTTTATCCTTCCCGTGAAGAGGGAAGAACCATTCGAAGAACGAACCATGTGAAGAGTGTATGGTGCTGAAGTTGGTGTTGTAGCTGAGATTGCAGCCCTCAAAAGGATCGGCTTTCACATTCTGTCATATAATGTCGAACCAATCCGAGCCATTTTCATAGAGATTAGCAGTTGGGTATAGCAACTCTTCCAGAGAGACAGAAACATAACCCATAGTTTGGACTTGGCTCATAAGTTCAAAGAACAAATTCCCACATTGAAAGAAAGCAACCTGCATTTTGCCTCTCAGACAAAATCTCAAGTCTTTTCTTTGGACTGAAGATACAATCAGGCCATTGTTTACTGAATGAGATGAAGAGACTCCCTGCATGCTCCTCTGGTAAATTTTTCAAAACCAAACACTCCAACATCACCTGCAAGATGTAAAAGATAAAAATTACAATTGCATGTTACATTCTACCCACATCAAACACATTAAACAATACACAAAACATAAGATATTACTAGTTTACTATATTAGAGTTTCATCCTAAAAAATGACTAGTGGGAGGTCTTTTGTGCGTATTTAACAAGTATGATATACCCTTAAGATTTGAAGTTTCATATTTATAATTTAGTTTAATGTATTTCACAAGTATGTGATGGCTTAGAGAGTAAGTAAAAACCCTTACTGGATGAATTGATAATTACAGCTGCGATTGAATTTCCCCAGGAACAACCTAATGCCAAAAAAATTAATCAGTTCTAACTCTTAGCACAATCCTTGTCCTCTTTTCCCCACCCAAGGTCACGTTCATGGCGCCCAGGAACTTTGATTTGCTGAATAATCTAACCACCGATTCAATTTTCCCTTCCCCACATTCATCCACGGCCACCACACACGCGCCGCCATCTCGGACCACCCGCTCCATCTCAGCCGCGTACCGGGCCGGGAACAGGGCCCGGTCCAAATACGGACTGAACCCGAAATCGAACGCATCGTCGAAGAATGGTAGGTTGTGAGGATCCGCCCGGCTCACTAGAGGCGGCGAGTCAACAAGCTCGATTCCGGTGACATCGCTCAATCCGAGATCGTTCAACGCCATGACAGCGTGGCCGGGGCCCGCGGAAACAACGAGGGGCCCGAGAATGGACGGAGAAGAGGCGCTTGTCTCGGAGGAGCTGGAATAGATCCGTGTAAGAGCGGACAGTTTGGATCCAGGCATTGGTGGACCAGAGGCGGCGGTTGCGTTTATCGACGGAGGTGAGGGCTCGGGGGGTGAAGTCGCATGTGGATTTGGGGAAGCGGTGGTGGGGCTTGAGGTGGCCGCCGGAGATGTGGACGCAGGTGTTGGGAATGCGGAGGAAGAGGAAGAGGAGGATGAGCGTGGCAATGGTGAAGCAGGCGAGGGAGAGCTTGTTTAGGAAGATCTGAATATGCCTATCCATTCTACTGCGATCATCGATCAGAGCAATTGATGGTTTAGGTGCACGCAATACAAGCTTAGATGGGATGTTGAATTCGTCGCCGGGAAATTTCACGCCGATCTACTTCACGACGGCCAATAGAAGAAAATTCTTCTCCTGTAGTATTAAACTTACCGGTTGAGCCTAAAATGACTCGGGTTGAGCCTATTGTTTTTTTGTTTGAAAGTAGCCTATTGGTATTGTGCACGTACCCAATTGGCACTAATTTGTTTTTTCTTTTCTAAATGTATTTTGAATCATTAACATTTTCTTAAATTGGATTTCCTAACAGAGAGATTTTAGATTTTAAGTCGAGTGATGAGAGGTTTGATTTGCTAATCATTGACTAAATTAAGTCAATTACAGGATCATCAAATATTATTGCTTCTATAGAAGTGAGATATTATCACTTTGTTTACTTCTTTTTCTTTGATTGTATTATCAATCATGTGATGAATGTTATTTTGATTTAATATATATGTGTGTGTGTGTGTAGGATTTGACAATAAAAATGAATTTCACTAACTTTTCACTTTCTCAATTTATCTATTTATCTACCATTTCACCATCTACTTTTGTCGATCCATTGGATCATTATATAAGATTACTAGTTTTACTACGCGCGATGCGCAAGGAAAAAATGCCCAATCTTATTTAAATAAGGTTAAGATAATGACATGTTAATACATAATTTTATAATTAAGTTGTTTGTAATTGCAATAAAGCTTTATACATAACTTTTTCATAATAAGAATTGTTATAAAAAAACATCACAGATGTTTCTTTGCCAAA